CAACACTCTCTTATTAAAACAGATTGTGCTTTTGAAGATAAAAGCTGTGACCTGATTGCTGTGACATTTAGATGGCCTGAACCATGGTCTTGCCTTTTATGCTTAATGCGTTACCTGAATTAGATGCTGTAGATACCGTAGCTGGAAAGCATGCAAATAATCTGGTGTTGCAAACTTCCATCTAAGAAATAATTAATCAAAAATGGTCATAAAATACTCAAATAGCATGGCTTGGACAGATCTTTGTCTTGGCAGAAGGTTAGATTTTTTGCATTCTTTCCTAGGAAGAATTAAAACTTTTAGTTAGCTATTGTTTACTTTGTCGCACAAAGAGCCAGGCCCAATTAAGCCAAAGAAATAATTAGTGTGGAAGTTTCACCCTTAAAACAGTTTATCACAGTCCTGAGTCACAGTGGTCTGTTTTCTGTGCTCTACAAACTGTCACTGGACAGGCAAAGCATGACAACCGTTGCTCCATTTCTGTATTTCATATTCTACCTGTTGCTGAACCATGCCAAACAAACCCATTTTTATGCAGAAGATCAGCTGTAGGCTACGCTTACCTAAGCTTAAAGTTTTCAGTCCTTCTATGCAATTCTGAAGGAGCATGATGAATTTTAAAGTACTTATGTTTTATTGATTGGAAGGATGCGATAAACTTGCAGAGTACCTTCCAGTTTTCTCCATTGAACTCTTGCAGTCATCATAAGAGGTACATGTAGGCCGTGTGTCTTCCTGTCTTCAGAACTCTGTGACCCATGTGATGACAACGAGAAGGACAGGATGATGTTACTTCCTTGGAACTTCAGCTTCCCAACAAAGTAAAAGATAACAATGGATATCTTAAATTGATTTAAAAATATAATTCTGGATTTTTTAACTACTACTACTTTTGAAGATTTGTGATGTTTGGAATTTTAGGGCAGAACCCCAAGCATAGGATAGTTGAGAACTTAACCCTGTTACCTTTGTTAGCTCATACCATGGGTGGAAAAAGTTTCATTCCATGAGGAAGGCAACAATGTGAGTTGATGTTTATGCAGACACCCGGTGTACATGAAACTGTTTTGGAACAGCAGCAGGATGTGTGGTACCTGGTTTGCTGTTGTTGGACCTCTATTCAGGAAAGAATACAAAATAACAAGATTAGTAGGTAGTAAGAGGCAACATAACATACTTGAGGAGAAGACCTTCTACGGTGCTTGAAGTGTCACATCCTGCATCTCTGTGAGACTGCGGAGAGCAAACCTGCTCTTATACTTGCAAATTCCAAAGTTGGATAGAAACTCTGACTGGTTTGGGGTAATATGTACATCTCTCTCTCTTGCAAGTACATTTATGGTGGCAATTGTGACTGATTACTCATTCAGTTATTTAATACAGTTTATAGTACCTGAAGAGGCATGAGATGTAACTTGACTGGTCATATTGAGGACAGTTATATGGTCTGTGGCATGCTGGAAATGAAAACCGTGTTTTTGTCCAGGCTAGTCTTCAGTCACTAAATAATCTTGGGCATTAATGTTCAGTAGAGAAAAAAATGGCTTTCCTCTTAATAGGAGAATCAAACTGGCAATATTGGTTTTGAACATTTCTAGCGAGTGGACCCAGGCAGCCTCTGTCATCTTCCATAAGTTTCCCCTGCAAAGAAATAAAACCAAGGGGCAATTCCTTTTTCATGTTTGTCTGAATAGTATCTAAATACAGTAATTTTTCCTATTTTGGTAGAAGGGGAAAAAAAGTTCACTGCAGCTTGTGGCTGCACTGTGGCTTACACTTTTTTTTTCTTTTTTTTTCCATACAGCAATTTCAGTACAAGGTCACCATGTATCCATTATTAGCCATGAGGAATAGCAGTTAACAGATGAACAAAGGCAAGGGCTTACTATAGGATTCTCTGTTTAAAAAGTTACCTAGCACAATAAAGGGTTATCATATTTGTAAATACGGCTGAGATGCAGTCTGTGCACCTCCCAGTAGTACTGACATGCTTTAAATTCCTCCATTGCATGGATAAGGCTGACATTATCACCAGGGCTTGAAGAGTGAAGGAGCAGAAAACTGCCCATGGAGAGTATTATAAATAAATGTGAAGCCCTCATGGGTGTAGAGCCTGAGGCACAAAGTCGAAGTGAAAATATTTCCCAAAGTTGACATGTCATGGTATGTCCTGTGTGTTCAAGCTGTGTATACCAAACCTATGGCTTGTTACTCTTAAGATTTCTCATCTTATACAGAGCCTTTAAGTCTTAAGGGAGACTTCAGCGTTGCTGGATGTTTGTTTTTCAGTGGTGCTCCAATCTTGCTTATGTTTTGGTGGCAGATAATTTCTGTTAATCAAATTTGGCTGCATCTCACCTCTTGATTTCCTCCCCTTCCACCCCACACCAGACAATACAGCACTGATGTAATGATCTTTAGCGTAGTCCAAAGAGATCAGAGAATCACACAATAGCTGAGGTTGGAAGGGACCTATAGATGTTGTTTAGTCCAACCCCTGAAAGCAGGGTCAGCTAAAGCAGGCTGCCAAGGACCATGTCCAGTTGGGTCTCGAATATCTCCAAGGATGGAGACTCTGCAATTTCTCTGGGCAGCCTGTTTCAGTGTTCAGCCACTGGAGATCTGCTTTCAGGAAGTTGCACCTGCAACTATATAATTGGTTTTAGGTGTTCCCTGTCAATAAATTGTAGAGGACTTTTTGTAAAATTGGGCTTTGAGGCAAGAACTGCAGTATCTTTGCCTGTTGAAGCAGAACTTGGAGTAGAGAATCTGCAGAGACACCTTTTTGGAGACTGTAATTTGTTTTCCGTGCTTCTCTTACCTGAAAGACAGATCATTGTTATATGCTCTGTGCTACAACCAAAGGCCTGAAAGACAGTCTAAAGATCTGATGTAGTGAGTTACACTGATGTCTAATAAGTAATTGTGATTTTCTTTAAGATTTCTTTTTCAATTGACAATTTCCATATGGCATGAGAGTATGCATGAGAGTGAGCTCTGATCTTTGAAAAAGAAATGCTTTATGTGGTTGTTACTTAAGTTGTTTCTGCAACATAAACCACTGCTATATGTCTGCGAGTCGGTATAGCTCCTATAGCATTATTGGTTTGTTTTAGTAAATTTTATTTGCTAATCTGATAGACTATGAGCTGTAGTTCTCAAATTTCAGTGTGCTCATAAAATGTAACAAATTTCAGGACTTAAAGAAAATGCTGACAAATACAGTGAATTGAAATTTAGAAATAACTTTTTAAATTTACTAAGTCTGACTTGTTAGGCATGCAAACATGAAAGTTCAGCTGATCAATGAGATTTCGAACTATAATTTGTGTCAGTATTTATAATTTTATACATAAAAATATGCATGAGTACACAGAGGTACATATATCTGCATATTAGAGCTGCCTGCCTGTAGTGGTTTCTATGCTCCCCTCCCCCTTTTTTTCTAATAATTCATTACTGGAGGAAGTCTCTTATGTAGGTAAAATAATTTGCGAAAGAGATATAAAATAGATGTCTAGCTTCTGCTTCACAGGGAGATGTGTGTTGGCCAGAGTAGAAATTTATTCTTGATTTCTTAAAATGAATATGGAAAAAAAAGAACACATGTAGCTAATTTTCCAGGTTTGAGCAAAAGAGATAGAAGTTCACATATATGTGCCTGAGATAAAACTTTTTCATCTCGGTGTATTTTACAGATCTGTGGAGTATATTTTCACTTTCTCTAGGACAGTTACATATTAGTAACGTGAATTCTTTAAGATCAAGGGAATATATTGGAATACATGAGCCTAGGTGAGCCAAAATAACTTTTCTTCCAAGTTATTCCTGAAAGTTTTCCTTTTAATAATGACCAAAAGATGTCACTCCTGAATAAGGTTGGGGTTTTTTTGGTTGGGGGGTGTGTGTGTTCTTTGGTTTTTGGGTTTTTTTTTTTGTTTTTTGCAGAAGACTGATCTAGAATGCAAAGCCTGTTTGAATTCTTTTGACAGGCTTTATCTGAAATCAAGTATCATCTGTCTGTCTCACATCTTAAATTTGGGCCGGACCAGGTGTGATTTGTCTTCCCACCTAAGTCTAAAGATGGCATAGAATTCCAAATGAGTACTTTTTGGTATGCTAATTTGGCAGAAACTTGATCGTGTTTTCATGTGTAATCACCAAATTGTTATCTCTGGGCAATTTAGTAACATGCCCCTCGATACCACTGATTTGAAACCAGGTCCCCACATCGTGAAGACCATCCTTTTTGCAAAGAATATTAATAAATCTAATAATTCATCTTTCTACTTGGGAATAGATGCATCTCTAGCTTCAGTGTGGACTACAAGCTAAGCTTCTTTCTAGTTTTTTATGCTATGCTTTAACATAACATTCCAGACCTGGTTCAATTGCAAGGATGCCTTTGATTCTGAAGGTTTATGAAGAATTTTATGTCCTGTCTGGTGCTGTTAGCTGCAATGGGTCTGTAGGGCTAAAAGCAGCAAAACAGAGAAACTTTGTGCATTGGTAAAGGAAAGGATCCCATTTTGAAGACTCACTAGGAGCTGCTGGAGATCTGATGAGTAAGAAGCAGCCAAATTTTCTGTTATTTCTCAGAGGTGAATTAAGGAGAGGATCCCCCAGTATATCTTGGTGTTTTAGAAATGTTTCAGCTGACAGCATGGATGCCTTCTGCAACTGAATTATCTCAGTATTTCATTACCATGCCAGGCACAGATACAGTGCAGATGCAGTGGCCTTTCTCAAGGATGAGAGCTATTTTTATTTAGGGAAATGGGAATATCCAAATAGCCAGAGGCTTATTTTAGTGCTGCGTGCATCATAACTATAGAAAGAGCTTAATGAGGAATCTTCTTGTTTCTCTAAGATCCACAGCTTTGTTCAGTTATAGTTAAGGCAACACGAAGGGGGCTGTGTCATTTCAGCCTCTTGGGATTCATTTGCAGCAAACATAGCAGCTTGTGCTGGCTTTCATCCAGCTTTGCTGCTGGCGAAACATGTCTCTTCGCTCTCTTTGTACTCCCAGCTACAAGACCAAAATCCTGTTTAGCCAGTTTTTCAAACTGGTACTCAAACTGGCCTTCCCTCTCGCCACCTTTTCTCTGAGAACTGTTGTAGGTTTCGTGGAGGTAAATGTACAGAGCAGCTTGTTTAAGTCTTCCTCTTCTCTCTGTTCAGTTTTTAATCTCAGTATTGAATTACTGAACATGTTCCTTTAAATATGGAATGATTTGTCAGAGCGCTGCTGGAGAGACTGATCTGGTGAAATAAGCAATAAAGGGTGGAGGGTGATGCCAATACACTGTGGTTCTTGCAGTTGAAATGAGGGCTGGTTGCAAGATGCAAGCGCTGGTAATTAACACTGTATAACTCTGTTGCTATGGAATGAGTAGATTAACAGGGGAGACAGGGCGTGTGAGCTTGGTGGAGGTAGTCTTAAGGTGGGGCAGCTTTGCATGTGAAAGGGGGGAGTGCTATGGAGGGCAGCATGAAGATGAATGACAGGAGGTAAATAGCTGAGAGAGTTTTTATTAGTGGACTGAAGGAGATGTGGATGGAATTTACGAAATGACAGAGCTGTGGACAGGTTGTTCAACATGTGAGGCAGAAAAATGTAATGTAAATCTGGCACTGGTCTTAACTTGTCCTTAGCTTGCTACATTTGGGTGTATGCTGGTTTGAGGTTGTTTTGAGATGCTGCCTGACGTACGTAGTGAGAAAAAGGAGGCTGAAGATGTCTTTTCCACAGAAACTCTGAATTGCGTAACTTATATCTCAATGTGACTTTATAAACACATCTGCACTGGTTGATTTAACTCCTTCTGATGTGTGAAAGGCTCTATCGATTGCCTGAAAGGCTTAAGGGTCCTATGTAATCTATAGTAACGGAGCTGGTCCACAGCTGTGCTTTTCATACTTAACCTTTCCAGAATTTGGAGACATCTCGCGTAGATGAAAGAAGCCAGTTCAGGCTGATCTCAAATATCTGTTGTTCTTCTGTGGCAGTGTTATGCTTGCTATTTTGCCCATGCTCTTCTCCTAGGTGAATCTTCCCATTCATCCTCTGCCACCCTGTTCCTCTCCTCAGTTAACCCATGCGATAGCTAAGCTGTTTTGTGAAGGAAGGAATGCTTATGTCTCCTGACTATTCTTCCCACACTCCTTTTGCCCTTTTTTAGAGCAGTACACCCCAAAGTTTGTAAAAGGCTGTTTTTAAAATAGAAGTTTCTAAATAAACATTCAGCAAGGCCTGCCAACCTCATGGCATTTTATCCAAGACACTTTAGGCTGCTAGCCTCTAGTGAGAAAAGTAGAGAATTGTTTTGACATGTCGATTGTCCCATTGGAAAGCAGATTGCAACATTGAATGTTATCACTGACGTTTCATAAATACGCAGTGCAAATACTTAGGCTCAGTTAGAAATAAAAACAAATGCTGCCTCTCATGCCTTTGTATGCTTGGAATATTGGGCTTATCGGTGTCCTCATGCAATATTTCACTCTTCTTGATGTCTTCTCATCAGGGGCTTCTGAAAATAGCTGTGTTGTCTATCTTTTCAGCTGTACATTGTGTGGGAAAAATGTAAATATTTCAGTGCAACAGTCTTGATTTTTACCAACTTGAATTACACCATTTGGCCCAAGCATTTCCTCCCTTGTCCAAACATTTTTCTTCTTTTGTTTTTAACTTGTTGAAGACTTTCTGAACTACAGTTATTACGTTTTATTTGTAAAGCAGGAGCAACATTTGCTGCCTCCCTCAAACTGTGTGTGTTGGATTTCTTCTTGTATCTGATCAAAATAGCTCCCTAATTGCACTCTTTATACAGGCTCTCCTGCATCTTCAGAAGCACAGAGTACAAAGTTGAAGGTTTGGAGAGCGTTTTATTACTATTCACCAGTAAGACTCTGCTTCCTTTTGGCAAGAATCCCTGTACACCTTCTGGAGGCTAATTCCTATCACCGTTTCCAATCCTTTTTTACAAATATTTGCTCCTTACTGTGCCCAGAGTGAAAACAGAAAGTAATAAGGTGCTGCATTTAGTAAGAAGGCAGTTCTCCTCATGTCTGTTATCGTGGTGACTATATTTGTTGCTGGCCTGTGACTTTGGCAGTCCCCAAAACTGCATTTCTGAAGTGGTTCCTTTTGAGTCCTCTGGAATATTTTCTTCTTTTTCTGGTGTTTACACATCAACTGAGGTATTTTGAGCACTCTCAGATCTCAATTTCCTAACTTTAAAACATCCTTAAACAATGACTTGCTTTATAGCCTCAGGTTCTTTAAAACTTCAAATTGTGGTAGGGACACAGCCTGAACTAGCAATCAGGAGGAAACTGGCTTTCTGAATCTGCAGGAGTTTGGGGTTTGGGTTTTTTTGTTTGTTTGGGGTGGTGGTGGTGTTTGTTGTTTTGGTAGCATGCAAAGAATTGCATTGTAAAAGGTTTTGGGGGGAATGTTTCACCCTTCTTAAAGTTTCAAATATCTTCTGTTTGATATTAAATAACTTCATTTTATAGATACATACAGATATTGATATAAATATATATCTGCAAGTTAAGCAACTTACACAAGACAGTGATGTAAGTGCCTCTCCTTACCTATCTCTGCCCCTCAGTTCTCTGTCTTGATATGTAGCAGCCAGCATTTCAGAACTCAAAATGGTAGTGGAATGCTGATTAGCTGTCCAAGCCTAGTAAAGGGCCTCAGTTGGATTTGAGAAAGTTTTTGTTTGTTTGTTTGTTTGCTTGCTTGGTTTTTGGTTGTGGGGTTAAATAAAGCCTGGGTAATCATGTCTCTGCTCCTAGTAAATCATGTTCAATAGATGATTTATCCCTTGTGGAGCCTTACCGCTGGGACGCAGATGCTGCAACATTTGTTCACACAGTGAATACTGTGTAGCTGTGTGATCAGATCATTAAGGCATCATCTTTCCTGAGCAGAGACTGTAACTATGTAAAGTGTCACATCTGTTGATGAGAAAACAAACCCCAACCTTCTTTTCCCCCCATACACTGGTTAAAAGCATAAAGATATTGTCTGAGTTTCAAGTCAACTTGTAATTTGCTTTTGGGGGTGGTTGTTTGGAGTTGTAAGCTATTGCTGAGAGCAGTGGGTGGCTACTGCATCATGATGTTAATTACTGCTTTGTTTGTGATGTGATGCTTTCCTGGGAGGGAGTAGCATCAAGAGGGAAGCTTAGAATAATTATAGTTGTCCCCTTGAAAGTTAGCTAGCAAGCTACTATTTACTGATTTGATACAGGTACGTTCTATAATGCTTTAGCCGGCTATTATGAGCAAGGAATTTAACACTGGTATGGAATAATAAAAGACTAGAAACTGTTGTATAAGGATGAAAAATAACATTGAACAAGACACAGATGGAGCCCTTTCCTCCTGAGAATTAACCTATTGGGGGCTGTCCATCCTACAGGTGGGGAATAATTTTGTTTTATCCAGTGCTTGTAATGCTGTACCTCTACCAAGAACTTTCATTGGCTTGGATCCAACTTCATTATAATTTCACTTTTGAAAGTATTGGACCACAATTTGTTGGCTTTTCTTAGCTTATAACTTTTGAAACATTAGTAAGTCCTCATAGGTAGCTTTTTGCTTTTTGAAGTTCAAATTTAAAAAAAAAAAAAAAATTATTGAAGACCTAACTGAATTCAAAGGTGCCATAGGTGAAGAAAGGTTATTGCAAAATCAGTATTGTGATGGAATATGAAAGGGTGGGGCTTTTTTCTTTCAAATATTTCATAGCTTTAATTTATAATTAGTTCAGATTTTGAACATTACCATTATAATACCATGGCCTTTCATATGAACTCATAATTCTGCCATATTGTCCTAATTGTTCTTTTTTCCATACTGCTGGTATTCTTATTTCCTGTTCTGCAAATGCATATAGTTTCTTTGCCTACCTTTATCAGGAGCCCACATCTGTTCTCCGTGGTTTTTTTTAAAAGCTACTGCAAAGTGCTGAATTATTTTGTCTTCTTTAAAAAAAAAAAAAAAAAAAAAGTGTTTGAATAATGGTAACTGCTTGTTTTATGGAATTATCTGTACCAGTCAGTAAAATGAAATTTATGACTTGTATTTTTCAGTTTAGTCAGCTGGTATCCAGTGATTTGAAAGTACTTGGAAGGAGCTCTTACACACTCTGCAGTGATGGCCAGTTACTTATTCGACAAGTCCTCCACCCAGAAACATCTAAGAAGGTATGAGTTCACAACTGATGCGGAAGGGCAGTACTGTGTTTTAAGGACATCAAAGAAAATAGCTTAAGTGAGTTTGAGATGAGCAACACAATTCAGCCTTGGGAACTATAGTGTTCCAAGAACATTTAAGATGATCACCTCCCTGTCTCAACCCTGTGTAGCAGAGAAGTAGTTCTTGGCATTTGCTCTTGGAATTCAGCTATGGTACTTGAGGACTCCCAGATGAGCATAATGAAGAGGAAAATTAGGAAAGACAGGATAGAGACAGGAACAATACAAGTACATTGAATTCTGTGTGTTAAGAAATGGAAGCAAAGGTACAGATCTAAACTCAGCAGAGGTGATGGAGAGCTATTGCTTTGTTTAGGCTTGAGTTAAATCGCAGGTTCTGTGTGGAGTTATGGGTTTCTACCAAGATCTGAAATTGGTAGGAGCCATGTGTCAATGTCCTCTAGAGAGCAAACACACAGGCAGTGACTTGCCCTGGAGAATGGCAGTGATTCCTTTTTTGGAAGTAGCGCTACAGCCTATTTGCTACTCCCACACAAAGCAGCAGTTTCCACTCCAAGTTTCTGCAAGGGCTTAGAGCAGGCTGTCTTGCACAGGGGGAAGACTCTTGCCTTTGTGCAGGGTGGTGACTCTTGAGTTAGCCTGCTTGGCAGGGTCTGCAGGAACCCCACAGGAATGGGAGCTGCTGACATGGAAGGAGCTGACTGATCAGTTGTATTTTTTTTCTCTATATATGGGTATTGGCTCATGCTGAGTTTCTACAAATATTCACTTGGCATTTGTGTTATATTGAAACATAACACTGTGACTTCTCATGAAAAGTGCATGTTTATGTGGGGATGAAGCAAGTAAGGAAATGGGAATGATATTTAACATTCAAACATGCTAGTACTTTTTTTTTTTTTTTACACTTCATGCCACACTGCAATATGGACTCCAGGTAATTCTTTGTATTTCCCTCTTGAAACAAATGGTCTAAAACAAAACAAATGCTGTAATGTTGTGGAAGAAATAATTATCTGTACCAGATCAAGGAATGGATCTAGTCAAGTGTTGAGTCTTTTAATATTGCATTTCTTTCTCCTTTTTTCTCCTTCAGTACATTTTCATTTGCAAAAGTTTATTTCTCCCTGCACATTAAATATTAGTAAGCTCAGACATTAGCTCTTACTATTCCTGCCATTCTAAGAAACATTACCTTGTAACTTTCCTTAATTCCTTGTTTACAAAGGTGGGTGCTGTTTGGTTAGACCAAACTCAAACTTTTCTATAGTAAAACAGTTGGACAGTGTGAGAGAGAAAATAGCGAATTAGACCAGAATTATTTGTTTTATTCCTTGAAAAAAATTACCTGAGGTCAGAGTGAAGGCCTGCTTAAACATTTGTTTAATAATGTTATGTAACTGAAATTCTTATCCAATACAAAACAGTAATGAATAGATGTCTTTAAGTTGTTGGAAGATAGTTTGTACACTGTAACAATACTTATTTAAACTTTGTTATCGTGTTTTGGTACAATATTGCTTTTCAACGTAGCCACAAAAGAGAAAATACAGCATCCTAAATGGGAGTATTTAAAAACCAGCAAAATCTAGATTTCTCCCCCCCCCCCCCCCCCCGCCAGCTGTCTTCTCTAGCTGCTTTGCACAGGTCTGCCTCTTGGAAGCTATTTGCGTTTGCTCATCTAGAGATCTAATTCTGTAAGGCTATGGAATTTGAACAGTGTTACAAAGGAACTAAACTGGTCTATCATAGACAAGCTGATGACATGCAGCTATGTGATTTTTTTGAGACTGCCTCATTCAGTCCAAAAATATTAATTGGAATTTAAAGGAATGGTGTGTATAAAACTAACTTTTTGCCTTCCTTGCAGAACTTCCTGCTGTCAGACTGCTTCTATTCCTTTTATGATCTGCGCAAAGAATTTCACACTTGCTACCCTAGTTCAGCCGCCGTGAAAGACCAGACTATCAAGACCATGGCAGAATGTATCCTTTTGCTGCAGCTTTTACACCAGAATCAATTATGCTTTTTTAGGTTTTGTCTCTGTGATCGTTACAGGTTTTATTCTTCTAAATGAAGACGTGAGTTTTAAAAACTCACAGGTAAAATGGAAGGAATGTTGCTTAAGTGTGTGTTGGGGGGGCAGCTCTGCTTGTAACTTTTTTTTCCAGTTTGAGTCTAACAATAAGTTCTAAATTGTATTTAGTAAATCCACTGAAGAAAAATGTCGCTTGCATTGATACTTGATCTTAAAAGAATGGCTTAGCTGTCAGTGGGCCTTTTCAGCACCGGTTGGCCTGCAAGCTTCTACTGTTTGCAGGTAGTAAGTTCTCTTGCATGATGTTGACTGAACTGAGTTCAAAACAAAAAGTAATTAAAAAAACCCCACCAACAACAACCCAAAAAACCCCAACACCCTACATCTATATTTTAGGAGGATTTTTGTGGCCCGGCTGAATGTGGTTAAAGTTCAGTTATGTTTGAAATAACAGGAACTTACTCTGCTTTTTTTTTTTTTTTTTTTTTTTAAAACTGTTAACACTGAAATGATGTAAGCTATCAATAGTTTTCAGACTGTTGACCGTTAAAGTGAATATTAACCAGTTTATGAGCAGAGTAACAAATGTCTAGTAGTCATGCGTCCCTGGTAACACCAGTAAATTTGATTGCCAGTTCTGTGTTAATATCAGGAAAGCCTTATGACTTCTTTACAAACGACTGTGCAAGTCTGTTATTTTCTATAATCACCTGTTTAGATCTAGGCTTAGGGACAGATGAAACAGAGGAGGACTTTGGCGTGTGGCAAGTGAAAACCATGGTGGCTATCATTTTCAGCATGCTCTCTGAAAGTTGTAGTAAGTGACCTATTTATACAGAATGCTGAAATCTTCCGTTTTCTGTAAGAATTGGCAGGGGTACTGTCATTCTTAAGTAATCTCTGACCCTGGCTATATTTAAACTTCCTGTTTTGTTGCAGATCACATATTTACTGAGCCTGAAACTGTGAAATACAAGTACGAGACAGGTCCTTGGTAAGTGCCCTTGTCACGGTTGCTTAGAACCTAAGATGAATTTTCTCTACAGGAAGGAAAGTTTGTGAATATTCCCCCGTGGTCACTGTAAAAGTAGGTTGGTTCCTGTGAACAGTAACAGTGTAGTCAGTGGTCTGGTGCAGACAGACTATACCTGGTATGTTGAATGCTGCACTTTAGTCCGTCTCTTTAAAGTCACTGCAAGTTAAATGGTCTTTGTTCTCTAGCTTCTGTTTTGCATGGCAGCAAGGCTGACTTATCTTACCCAGTGGTGAAGAAATATTTGTGAACTTTCCCTAAGTCAACAGGGGTAATGACTAGTGTACCCTATATGCAGTTGAACTACATGGTGCTTCTGAAGAGTGGTCTAATATGCTGTGTTGCATATTGGGTTTAGGGAGAGAAGAAACAGAACGGTTCTTTGTTTTCAAATACATTGCAGTAACTGGAGAATGAAACATCTTAAGCATGAGTAATATGTATTCTTGTTTAGGACTGCCTTGTAACCGTCTATGTTGGATGGTTAGAGCTTTCAAGTAAAATTAGTCCAGTTCCTTTTTACTTCCCTTTGAGACAGTTTTCCTATATCTTTTTTTCAAGGAACTGCAATGTGGTGACAACAGTGCGTTTTAGGCATTGTATGTATAAAAGGATTATCCCAGTTTCTTTCCTTTCTTTATTGAAATGAGTAACATAATTAGAAGTGTCTCAACAACAAATATACTCCTGATTTCCAAGTTAAATTAGTTAGCTAGTTGCAAACTGAAATTTGGTAAAATAATGGAAAACCTAGATTAAAGCTTACTTTGGCTTCTTCTGTGGGGTTTTTTTGATTTTTTTTTTTTTTTTTTTTTTTTTTTCCTCTGTGCAGTAGTAAATCTGAAACGGTGGACAGTGAGACAGTAATACGTGCCAGAGGTTTGCCATGGCAGTCTTCAGACCAAGATATTGCTCGATTTTTCAAAGGACTCAACATTGCCAAGTAAGTTAGTAAGAATTTGTCTTGATTTATCACTTTCTCTTTAATAGCAAGTTCTTTTCATATTTGTTTAACACCCATCTTCCCTCCACTA